TCTAATATTAAATCCAGTAAAAGGATTGTCAGGCTGAAAGGGTTATTTATTAATTAATGGCTCAATGTCTAGCTGGCAGCCAGTATCAAATGGAGTGCCTCAGGGGTCAGCCCTTGGACTAGTTTTCTTCGATATCTAAAGCAACTATCCGGAAGAGGGGATGGAGTGCGTGCACCCTTAGCAGGTTTGCAGATGACACCAAACTGGGTGGAGTAGTAAATCCACTGGGGCTAAGATTCATAGGGACCGGGTTAAATCTGAGGATTGGAACAAAAGAAATCCCATGAGGTTCAATAAAGACTAGTGCAAACTCCTGCATTTAGGACAAAACAGTCCCATTCACTGCTACAGGTTGGGGACCAACTGGCTAAGCATCAGCTCAGCAAAAAAGGTCCTGGCTGTTTCAGGGGACATGAGGCTGAATACGAGCCAGCAGTGAGCCCTTGTTGGCAAGAAGGCTAACAGCATACTGGGTTGCATGAGTAGGAGTGTTGCCAGAAGATCAAGGAAAGAGGTTATTCCCCTCTATTCAACACTGTTGAGGCCACATCTGGAGTACTGTGATAGTTTTGGGTCCGCCACTACAGAAAGGATGTGGACAAATTGCAGTGTCTCCTGGAGGGCAATGAAAATGATTGGGCTGGGGCACATGACTTCTAAGGAGAGAATGAGGGAACTGGATTTATTTTGGAGAAGAGAAGACTGAGGCAGGATATAATAACAGCCTTCAACTACTAAAGAGTGATTATAAAGAAGATGTATTGGACTGTTCTCAGTGGTGGCAGTAAAAAGAACAATGGTTTCAAGTTGGAGAAAGGGAAGCTAAGTTTAGATATTAGGAAAAGCTTACTAAGAGTGTAGTAAAGCACTGGAACAGGTGACCCAGAGAGGTTATAGAATCTCCATCTTGGAGGCTGTTAAGCCCCAGCTAGACAAACCCTTGGCTTGGATGACATAGTTGAGGAAGGCCCTGTGTTAAGCAGAGGACTGGACTAGATCACCTCCTGAGGTCCCTTCCCAGCCTCATTCTCTATGATTCTATGATTCTGATGTCATGGATGCCTCGGCCAACCCTCAGCCTCCCTTCTGAGTCATTTGCATTCCAATACCTCATTGGTTGAGATTCCCTAGCAGGTGACTGGCCAGGTGAGGGAGACTGAGGCAGGCAGATGTTTCAATGATGAGAGGTACTGAACAGCTGCAGCCCCCAGGTACCAGCATCAATGGAGCCTCTTCACACTGGAGCATCAGGCCAGAGACCCTCCGAGGCAGTACATGATGGAAAGGGGAAAAGGAAGTTTGGACAAGAGATGAGATGTTGGATCTACCATTCACTGGGTATGGGAGAAGGCTATTTTAAAGATCCAATGTGCCCCAAAGAACTAGAGATGGGACTGAAAATGGCCTTAGCTAGATAATTTAGAAGAGAGGTTCAGAAATGTTATTGAGATACCTGTAAGTGATGTCTGAATTGAGAAGCAGGTGGATTACATTTTGGGATGGGTGGGTGGATGGATTAGAAGTTGTACTACCTCTACCTGAAGACTAGTCCTTGCTAGATTAGCAACTAAAACCCAAAAGTGCAAAACTGAATGGAAATTTATCTGACTCTCTCCCATCCTTTTTCTTCCAAAGCAGGAGGCCAGTCCCTGCAGCAAAGTGCCTCCAGCACCCCTGCTTTGTGATGCCATGATATCATCTTTTTTCCCCCTCAGGGAGAAACTGCAACATAATCCAAGTTGGGGGACAACCTACACAGACTGGGTGCTTGGACATTCTGTGTCCCCTGGTCACCCAAAGCCCTGGCCGCTGCTCTGAGATGTGCTGATCCTATACACAGCATGCACAGACAAAGGACCTGTACAGGGTGAGTGACCATCGAGGGCTGGGTCCAGGAACTAGCTCCCAGTCTGGGGAGGCAATGACAAAGGTAAAGCAGCTACACAAAAGCATGTGTGACAAGGGTGTTCCTGTAAGCCAAAGTCTGTTTTATGAAATAACCAGACCAACATTTGAGATCCCTCAAGCAGGACTTTTATGGGCTGTAACAGACTCCCAATTGCATGGACTTTCAGTGATATCTGTGGGTTTCATTCACGTGGGCTGCCCTGAAAGCCCATGCCCTGAATCCCCATGGGGTGGCCTGGGGATCGGGGAACCACTGATGAAAGGATGCAGACTCATGAAGGGCCAGGCAGGATCCATGGGACACCTTGCTGCTCACCCCCTTCAATAGGACACAGGGCTTGTGATGCCTAAAAGCATGCCAATTGTACCCATCGTTGTTCAAGTGTGTGGTTCCAGACTTTTGACTTAACATTTGCAGGACCTCTCCACCAGCTCAGCGTAGCATCACCAGTACTGAAAGCAGCAGTGTCCTGGGTATTGAGCCCTCCCCTTGGACATGGTTGGGAGTGTGAAACTGGCATCCCTGAGAGCAGGGACAGACTCTCCTGCATGTATCCCACATGCAGGGCTCAGTGGGAACTCCCTCTGCCCCTCTGAGTTTCTGCACAGCATGTCAGATGAGAGGTGCTCCCTGTCCAGGAGTTGGGGTCAGTGCTGTTTCCTCAGTAACATGCTTTTCCCCAGGCCCAAGGGAGAGACCAAGAGGACCTAGGCTAGAGGCCACCACCAGCAGCAATTTCCTCCATCCCCTTTCCAATGGCACTCCTGGCCTGAGGACAACACACAGGTCCTTTTGGAGCATGAACCACTTCCTACTCCCATCAGACCCACCAAAGTGCACACATTCATGCCTGAGCACATCACCCCCATTACTCATATAGAGGAACAAAAAGTGGTAAGATTTGGTTTATTTTCAGATCCAAGGTGAAATTCATCTAGCAAATAGAGGACATGGAGTCTCCCCAGGAAAGCTGTGGGAAACCCAGCCTTCAAGGCTCCTGCAGTTCAGGAAGACCAGACTTTTCCTTGTATACAACAGGAGACATCTGCATCCAGGAGGTTGTGGCTAAATTTTTTTTTTTTTTTTTTTTTTAGGTCTCTGATTTCCATGAGCTTTTGATTTCCTGCTATAACCATACACAACACCATTGCCTCTTGGGAGTCACCTCTTTGCCTGAGTGGTTGTGAATGTACTACAAACACAAGACAAACCCTAGAAAATAAGATGCAGGGATGTGGTAAAAGCCAGAGGACCCCATCTCTGCAGCTCCAGCAGATGCAGCTATGCTATGGGAGACAGAGATTGCTGTCAAATGACACGTGTGAAATTAAACAGGGAGCATTAAAAATTGAGGTTTCTCTCCATTTCATCGCATCCCAGAGTGCTTCAGGCTGGCAGTCTCACAACCCTGGGATGTAGTTTAGGTCTCTGCTGCTCTCCCGGTAAATGGCAGCACAAGAATGCAGGCTTTTTGCTGGTAGACACATCTCATTTCTGCAGCCCCACAATCCCGAGTCTGCTACGGCCATCTCCCTCATCAGTCCCTTCTGTGCCACCTGTCTTCTGGGTCGATGCATTTAATTTTTTCCTGCTGGTTCCATCATCTTCTCACAAATGCAGAATCGAGTTTCTTCACACCTGCCCGTTCTGGCAGTCCCACCCTGGACATATGCACAAGCGCCGCCTGAATAATTTGCATGACTTGGGTCTGGGAGCTGAATCCTGGAATGTAAAGTCACAATTTACAATTCAGATCCATCCACCTCAGCTCAGTGCACCTAGACACGTGGTCAGGAGTCGTCTACACTGGTTGTACCGACAGCAGGGAATACTGAGGCAATAGCCCAGAAGGAAGGGCAGAGATGCTCAAGGCTAAATGTGTCAAAGGAGAATTTCCCAGGTCAAAATCCCTACACCCTCACAGCACATTAAACAAGGCAGCACAAACATGTGTATGGGCCAAATTCACTTGAGAAAAACTTTGACTCCCCAGCAATTCCTCCTGGAATCAAATCTGTAGAATTGAAGTTTCTGTCCTTCCTTTAATACAACTAAATGTTGCTCCCAGAGACATCTCCATTCCCCACAGTCCCATATACATACCACAACCACAGAAACTATTCATGAGATTAATTCCTGTATCACATGACTCTTCCATGTAACCAGCAAATACAAGCCACCAGCCTTGCCCCTTCCCACTAAACTTTTTCCTAGGCCCCCAGTGGTTCAGATATGCCAACCCTTGAAGGATCTCAAATGGCTGTCCTTTCTTGTGGAAAGTCAGTCTGCAAGAGCCAAGGGAATGGCCCTTATCATGGACAGTTTTAGGGAGGGAAAAGTGATTTTAGGGTAGTGAGTGATTATCATGACTGTTCCAGCCCTGTGCAATTGGACTCATTAGCTAAGGCAGTCACCAGGCTTTACACAGATACAATCACTAGTCCAAATAAATTACAGAAAATGTCCTACAGCCATCACATTTCCTTGCCATGGAAAGTCCAGGCATGAGGGTTCTTGCATTTTGGCAGGACCAGACTCCCCATTGCATACAAAGGGAGGCATCTCTGTTATGCAGGGAAGTTGCTAGGGACTGAGCTAAGTCAGTCACCAAGCTTTACAGGGATATGGCAACTAGTCCAAATACATTGCTGAAGATGTCCTATAGCCCTCACATTTCCTGTACTGCACATCAGTAGTGTAAGTTGCGGTGGGGGTATGGGTCCCCAGCCCTGGAAGCCAAATGAGGAGGGGAATCAAAATCACCCCACACTCTGGTAGAGTCCGTGCCCTAGCATCAAAACCTGAGGCAGACAGACCACACTGCAGTGGCATCAGTAGTGGGCAGAGACAGTTTCTGAGTCCCTGTCATGGGTAGGATGCAAGCACCTTCACCACACTCTCCCATAAAGGTACCCCAAGGCACAAATCCTGCTTGTTTTGCCTCTAGCACAAGCAGGCAGGCAGTCCCATGATGAATCACACCCAGGTGATAGTGCTGTACTTTGGTGCAGAGCTGTGGCACCCTAGTAACATAGACTTACATGCCAGAGGAGAGAGTTGTGCCATCCTCCCAGAACCATTTCCCTCTTACAGAGTCATACACCAATCCAGTCCAGAATGGGAAGTAGTATGTAGTGCTTCCACGGTCTTCAGAATAGTGAAATGACTCAGTCATTATGAAATCCTACATGAGAACAGAATTAAATGGAAAAAAAACATGACAAATCTTAGGCACATGGAGAACATCAGCAGGTTGCCAGGAGTTCCCTACATAGTATTGCTGCAGATGTCTGTATAGAGATTATCTTTGTAGACAACCTCAGTATCCTGCACATGTCTAAGGACCCATACCATTATGGCCAGATATGATCAAAAAAATTCTGCAGGTAACATTGTAGTATCCATCACACACACACAAAAAAACAGATGCACACGGGACACAGGAACACCATTAAGCATGCGCATGTACAAAGCGCCCACTGATTCCTACCCAACTGCAGACCCAATCAGAGAGACCTGCAATGTGTTTTGCCCATTCACATCCCCCTAGCACTCAGGACACCACTCCTCGAATTACCTAGTCAATGCTTGGCTAGAGAAAGCCCAGTCCCAGGGCATGACTCCTTTCAGATTGAACTCACTCACCTGATTTGCACAGATACGTCAAAGGTAACACACACTCACCAGCTCTTCTCTGCTGTCCATCGTGATCAGGCTTGCAGAGTGAGAACTGCAAGAGTATTTACACTGATCCCAACGTCTCTTTTTAGGAGAGAAAAGGTAGGACCTATTTGTACTGTGACTCCACCGCGCTGGACACTTCTCCCCTGGAATAACACAAACCACATCAGCTCATCACACTCTCGTATCACTCTTGTGCTGGGGATGATGCCATCAGGAACAAGGGCTGCTGTGTGTCCCAAAGCACTAGAGATAGCATCTTCCACTTCCTGCCAGTGGAACTATGGCAGCATCCACAAGGATATCTCTCAACCAAAGCCAACGTGATTTTGGGAGCAGAAATGACACTGCACTACCAGAACACCCTTACATACATGGCTCCACCAGTCCTGCAGCAACACCTGCTTCCACCCTGTGATTTACCTATATCATGAGGCAGCTCCCGTACAGTTCCTGGAATGCCTTGATTTTGACAGGATGTCAGCTCAGATGAGAGGTATCCCACCTGCTCGAGGAGGCTTTTCCGCTCTATGCCCAACTGAGCCACTGCAACAACATAAAAAAACAGCAGCATCTTTTATATTAGGAGCTGCCACAGGGTTGCACAGAGGTTAGGTTCTTTGTTAAATGGTGATCCAAAAGCATTTTTTCTCTTGCAGAAAGAATGATTTCTCAATGGCAAGCCCCTGTGCAGCAACAGTTCAATTTTGACTAGAGGTGCCATTGGAGTTAGTCAAGTCTGATATGGAAATGAGCCTGGATGACTGACTTTTACATCTTACCATCAAAGCTATTAAAGAAAGCATTTCCTGAACTGAAGCTGTGCAGGAAGAAGGAGAAGAGACAGAACACGTAATTCTATTTTTGCAACATCTTGTGTTACCAGCATTTCCAGAGATATCAAGTGATCTGTACTCTTCTGCCCCCTACCAGTCCATGAGTGTTTACAGAGCAGGATATCAAGAGCTCTAGGTCACATTAAATACTTACTCTGAGCACCATACACCCTGGCAGTGATCAGGAAAAGCAGGCACACCAACATTATCCCAAGTACCAGTGGAATCGGGGACCATGGGGGAGATGCTGGGGCAGTCTCTAGCAGAGGGAGAAGAAAGAACAGAGAAGAGATGAGAGGGGAAGTCTTCCCACCTATGAAGTGAGGATGGGCTGGAGTGAACTGGAGCATTTCCAGAACCTAGAAGACAAAACACTCCACAAACCACAGGACAAAATTCCTCAAGAGTGTCCCCCACTGACTGGACAGTCCCTGTGACTGGATGGAAAAGAGGATTTTTTTCATTGGAGCATGTTCATGGGGCTGAAGGGGCTGGGAAACAAGCAGTCTTTGCTCCCTCCACCAGTCTTTTAGTGGAAAATTCTCCCTGAGTTATGAGACATATTCTAGGGAGCAGTCTCAGATAGATGCATGTGCCCCTGTAACACACTGAGTGGAGATCACTGAATTATTATGTACAATAGCCCAATGCAGTGTTGGATTCAGGAGATCCCCTGCACCCCAGCAACTGTGAGGAGGAGACAGCACAGCCATTTCTTTCACCTAGTGGAGCATTCTTGGAGCCACAAGGGAGTTAGCAAATAGCATGGAGGAGAGAGCTGGAGTTTCTTGTCTCTGTCCTGTTCTATCCTGACCAAGGGGAAACAGAATGGTTGAACTCAATCCAGGCAAAGTGCACTTGATTGCCCCACAGCCCCTCTGCCCCACACGGTACCTGTGTGCCCAGCATGCCAAGGGATCTGTCTCTGGAGCTCTGGAGGAGTTTCCAGTCTGAGGTCTGATGAGGCGTCGTCCTGCCCATGCATTCCCAGCAGGTCCAGTGCAGCTGGTTTGGACTCAGCTGGAAGTGATTCAGGGCTGGGCTGGGACATGAGGAGGAACTGGTGGGTCTGAGTGACTCAGGTACAGCAGAAGGAGCAGCACAGAGCTATGATTGAGAGGGAAACAGTTACCTGTCCTGAGAGAAGTGACACAGTGCCACAACATAAACAACACTGTGCAGAGACAGGGAACGTCCCACAGGACAAAGGAGATGGAGAAGATCTCTGACAATATTCCCAGCTGACTGTGGGGACTGTGTGTCCCAAGGCACTAGAGATAGCATCTTCCACTTAGGAGTTAGTGTATTTGGGGGATATGCAGTGCCCCCATCTCTGAAATGAGCAGCCACTGCAGACTATAAAGCAAAGTCTGTAACCTCACCTTTAGCAGTGATATCGTTCCAAATGAAATTTCCCCACTCCCACTACACATGAACACAACCTGAAACGTGCTGGTGCCTGTCCTGTGCCCACCATTTTGCTTTCTGAGGTTACAGCTCCCTCAGTGAATGGCAGGGAGTGGCACCGTCACATGGCAGTGCTGCCTCCAGCCATCCAAGGGGAAAAATCCAGCCTTTCCATGAACACCCAGGCAGCCTGCCCTACAGCTGAACACAGTTTGCTTCACCTGTGACCAGTCCCCAAAATTGACGCCAGTCCTTGGGACTAGATCCTCCCCCATCCCACACAGGACAGCTGAATCCTTCCCACTCTGATGCTGTCTTACAGCAATGATAGCCCTGTGGCCCTGTGGAAGGGATACCTGTGAGCAGGTACCAGGGAGCAGTGACCAGGGTTCAGGAGCAGGATGAAGAGCAGTGTGTCCCAAGGACTGGTGAACTGTGTGAGTGTGGGCATGTGCAGGGGCCAGACCTCAGAGGTCATGAGACAGAAGGGGTTTACAGTCACCTCCTGCTCAAAGAGGCCCAGCCCTCCCAGGACAGGAAGGCTGATTGCCTCGCCACTGTCCCAGCACAAACCGCACAGGAAGCCCCCACTTCTGCTATGATATGTGCTGCTCCTACACAGAGTGGACAGAGCATGGAGCTGTTTTGGGGGGGTGGGAGGGGTGACAGCCAGGGGGTGGGGGATACTGCTGGGGGATAATGCACAGACCTGGGCAGGGCATGGTGAGAAATGAAGAAGCAGCTAAATAAAGGCGTGGGAGACAGGAGTTCAGGTGTGAGCAGTGACTTCTGCAAACATTATTTCCTTAGCCTGTCTCAAAACCTAGGCTCTGAAGTCCCAGGGATTGGCCTGGATAAGTGGGCAGGATGCCTGGGATGTCCCCCCATCAGCACTTTTGAAGGGCATCAATGATGGAAGGGTACGAATATCTGTGTGGTCTCTGAACTGTAAACACCCATGTTTGTAACAGTTACACAAGTGATAATTCATCAATGACCCTAATCCTGCTGCTGTAACCCTTTGAAGTGACGATCCCCCTCAGGTACTAGCACTCACAGCTCTTTATGCCTTGAATCCTACACTCTACCCTTGCATTCTATAATCAAGCTAAAAATACATCCAGTAACAGCCTGCACAACACACTCTGCCTGGTCATCTCAGGCAAACCTATGGATGTGACAAATGAAGCAAGTCTCATGGCTAAGGCCAAGTGTTTAGCTGGGCCAGATGATTTGCACCTAAAATGTCACCCAGGGATGTGCAGTGCTGACATTTTGCTTAGGCAGGCTATGATGTAAAGCTGCATTTTCAACCCACGAAACAGCACAGGGTGGCACTTGGGCTGTTTGGCGGGCCAGTATGGGGACCTCCTGCATTGAGCCTCCCACTTTACCACACCCATCTACCTTCTGGACTCCAAGTGTCTCTCCAGGGGCACCTAAGCCCTGGCAGACCCCCTTTCGAGCCCCACCGCAGAGTCCGGGTGTAACATGAGCTGCCACCACCCTGTGAAGGGACTGTCTGGGTCCTGTGTCCTCAGGGAAACACAGGCCTAATAGTCCTATGGGTACTCGACCCAGTACAAGAACTTGGGGCACTTCCCCAAGTCGGGGGTCAAAAAGGATAGTCTCCCTTAGTCCGCACACCCAAGGGGCCTCCTAGGCATAATTAAACCCACCCCTCAATAAGTCTCCTACACTAGTCAAAAAGGAGAACTTTATTGGTTACAGAGGGTAGGGTTAGAATAGGGTACAGGGTACAGCAATCTCAGAGAAATCCCATAGAGCAAACTCCTGTGGCTGGGGTAGCCTTTGATCTCGCATCTGAGTTACTGCAAGCTATATATCTAGTTGGATCTCAGTTAGCTTACTCACAAGTATCATCCAGAGGCTGTTGGAGATTCCCTCTGGAGGCAGGCAGTTCCTTGATCATGAGCTTTGAGAGATAGAGCAAGTTTCAGATGGTACAGCTCTTCTTTGATCCTGAGTATCCCTCATGGCTGCTGCCCCCCTCCCCGGCAGTCCTTCACTTATATAGCCCTTGTGACCTCATTTACCTGGTCCAATGGAGGTCAGAACCTGTTGGCTGTGAGCCAACCAATTTGAAATACATCATTAGTTGCTGGGCAGACTCTAGCCCACCAGGAAGGAAGCCCCTCACCCAGGTATGTGATGCCAGTCACATAGGCAGAGGGAGCAGGTTTCCCCCTTCCCTCAGGAATGTATCCAGCTCAGGTTACCTAAAGAGATAGGGTAAAGGTATGTATCCTCTTCTGGGCCCATCCTAATCACAATTGTCACAGAGCAGAGTTTTTGGGGGAGAAACAAAGGTGGCTTTCTGCCACAGGCTGCGTAAAAATATTTTCCATTTTCTAAACAGAAGCATCAGGGCTGCAAGCCCCAGTCTCAGCTAGTAACGATTGACCCAGCTGCAGAAGCAGCAGAGCTAGGCCCATTCATACCACTGTTAGACCCACAGTCAATTCATTCAATTAATATCTCCTAGCTGCTTTCATTTTCTGATTGGAAGCTAAAGCCTTTCAGTAAAGTTGAAATGAAGCAGAAAAAAGGCATGGTCTTTACCAACCTTAAACTCTTAGACCTTAGCCCAGAATAACCATGTTGTGTCACGCTCTAGTCACTGAAAACAGAAAGAGCCAGGTGCACTGGAAACCAAATGCATTGCACTGTAGCTAATACAAGGGTCAAAGCAACTACTGTCATCTGTGTGGATGGAGCTATTGTGGTCACTGACAGGACTTTGGGTTCCAAGATGGCAGTCAAGAAGGCAACCCCCCTCCAAAAGGAGCACTTCTAGGGCAAAGGGAGGAACTCCCACTGGCAAAAGTCAGGAGTTAGGGGGTGGAACATCTAGTTCAAGATGGTGATCAAGGTGGCACTCAGGGGTGGAGCATTTGTTAAAGGGCAGGGCTTAAAGTTTCACATGAAGTGTACTCCTTGTATTAATCTTGAGGACAGTCTCCCCCTGATCCATGAGGGGCAGTCTTGTGGCCTTTGCCCATCTCAGTGTCTTAAACATCAGAGAACCCAAGGTCTGACTGGGACCTGCTGGTGGTCGGAAGAACTAAGGGATCACTCTAGGACTCTTAGACAGCCTCCATTTCTAACACAACACTACTTACATCAAGGTATGGCAGGTGAGAAGAAGGGGAGGGTACCTTAGGGTCAGAGCAGGGCTTTTCTGTCATAGTGGCTCCTATGGTCACCAATCAGATGTGGCTACCGTCATGATGTTGCAAAAGCCCCTGTGACCTGCCCTTTTGACCCTGTGACCTGCCCTTTTGATGTTGCAAAAGCACTGTTCACTGCTGTAGGCCTTCCATTTCTCTTTTGAAATGTGTTCGTGTTTTGAAACGTGCAGGTTTCTGTGACAAAAATTGACCCCCACAAGAAAACTTAAAAATGAGAAAAACACATCCTTTGATGCTTTTGGAAATATTTTGCTTGAGCCCAAATGAAGGTTATTGGACTTTGGAAGCTCCAGAAATTTAAAAACATATGTTTTGAATCCCCCCCCCCCAAATATTTTTTTTCCTGACTCTTTGATTCCCAGGCAAATATCCTGGGGGGGGGATCAGGATTTTGCTCACAGTGTAATTGCAGCCAATGAAGACCTGAGTGTTGCAATGAAATTGGTTCTGGATTCAGGCATATGTCAAGTTCTGGATGAGCACTGCCTGTTGTCTACACAATTGTGTAACTTATCCCCCTGGCAGACATTAGTTTAATTGTGCAATAGGATCTGACACCAACTACCGCATTTCCAGCCATGCCACACGTGCATGGCAGGACACACAATTTGGGGATCAGATCCCAATCGCACCCTGTATACTTGCCAACACAGAGGCAGAGTAGGATCATGATTCTTCAACTCCACCTGCACCAGGAAGTCCAAAGTTCATTACCTGGAACCCTTCAGGCAGGGCTGTAGATACATGGCTTTGAACTTGCCACATGGGAATGCTGATCACTCCTTCATGCTGCAGCCACACACTTAAAACCCCACATGCAGCCTGTTGGTACTCAGTCTTGAACTTGATGTTTGGGGGAAGCTTGAAAATAACTCTGCATTACAAATTAGAAAAAGGATTTGGAAATTCAGGAAGTCCCGTGACACAATCACTTCTGAAAAGTTTAAACTGGAAGTGCCAAAACAAGGCAAGGCAGCAGTCAAACAACATAGTAGGAGTACAGAGATATGCCTAACAAGAACACAGCACATACACTCACCATCGGGGAAGGAAAAGTTTAGGTGACCTCTGGACCGTGACAGTCAGTAACTCCCAACTTCCCAGTATATGACTTTTACAGTGTTGTTCCTTGTTGTGCCAATTTGATAATTACAAATTGATGGGATAATCATGTCTCTAATGGGTCTTAAACCTTACAAGGAAAATCATGTGAATGCAAAAAGAGGGTCTACACATTTTTCTGACATTACCTTTTCTCTAAATATGTGGCTTACTGGTGCCATGTCTGGGGCATCATGTTTGGGGTGTGTAACAGAGGTAGAAGCCTCCTGTTACTCAAAAAGAAATTGAAGCAGGGTGAGCAGGCTCAGGGAAAACTAGAAGCTAATGAACTAAGGGATCACTCTAGGACCCTTAGACATCCTCCATTTCT